TGATGGAAGAATGCTACAACATAGAGAATAAATGTATATCAACACAGCAGCCTCTTCGGTATTTTTATTTTGGGCATTTCGGCAGGGCAATCAAAGTTCCGAGAGGTTGCAGCCCCGGGGCTGCATTGTAATGTCATTTGAAATGTGTCATCCTCCCTTGTACAGGGTCTCAATACTATCATTATTTTCATTTCTTTTAAATTCTATCTTCGCTAAATAGGAAACAAGTATTGTAATTAATTATATTCATGTTCTAATTCTGGTGCCCAAGCGATGCCGCGCGGATCTCCCGTTGTGTAGCCTATGCCCAATGATTCGGCCGAGCATAAAAAAAGAGGCACAAATTAAGATGGTTGAAGTACGTGGACAATTCTTAACAACTTGGCAGCTGGTATCACACAAGTGCATGTCTGGCTAGGACGTTTTCGAATTGTTTCATTCTTTATTCGCGCTATATCAGATTTGAGCACACGAAAGCATCAGAAATCAACAATTTCGCGAAGGATATATGGCTGGCTGGTACGTGAAATCTATTATTCAAAAAGACTTTTGATTAATGAGTCCTCATGCAGAGGGCAACAAAATGCGCATCCGAGTTTACATTGCAGCTGGTAGATATAGAAAATGAAACTCAGGACGGCGCTTTGATCGCATTCGGTAGATGCTTCAGCTCAATCAAAAGTCAGCACTTCGAATTCACCTTCATCAATTATCCTTCATCTGAATCTCAACTTGTTAGCTCGAATCCGAGGCGGAATTTGAGTAAATTCGAGTCTCCAAAACAGCAGCTATATTTTTTGATTAAATATTTATCGACGACACGTTTCGAACATTTTTTGTCTAATGACGTTCAAAAGTGATGTCGGTATGGTGGCACGAAAGCGTATTTGCGTGCCAACTGTTGAGTTCATCTCTTACTGGGCGTTTGTTCTCGCACTGCCTTCCAAGCCACAGAGACCCAGCATCTACCCTCTTCAACAGCAACAACACACTTCTTCACCTTCAGGATACACAGGAACTTGAGTAAAGCATTGAAAGTAAGTTTCTTTACATTCTCAGTTCTTGAAGGTGTTCAATTAGAGTGCAGATATGTCACGCAAACTCGATTATGACGCCAAATCCGTTGCCCTCCGTAGCCTTGTCACTCGCACCATCAAAACCGCCAGCGAGGCTGCTGGAAGGCCTATCATCCTTCCTACATCGTGCAACAGCGAGACCGTCGCGATGGAAGTAGGAGAGGGAGCGGGAGAGGCAACTAGAGATGGACGGAAGTGCTTGGGGCTGGGCGAAAACAGAGCGTTTCGGAGCGACGAGTTTGCAATGGGGAAAGATGGTACGTGTAATCTTTTTGTTGATGATAATCTTCCGTGCTCAATGATGAATTATTAGCGTTCGAAATCGCGATCGGCGACAGAACATTCACGAACGCGGGCAATGGCGCCGCTCCAATCAACGAGCTCGAGGAAAAGAGGCTCGAAGACGCAAATATCTTGCTCAGTCTACGCACGAACGTCGTCTTTGCCAACACAGAGAAAAAATGAAGAAGAAAGAGTAGATATAAAGAAGCATTGTAATATTCGAGAATCACGTCTTGTAATTCGCGAATTTTGGCTGTATACAGCGTGCAATAAAGTAATGGTCTCATTTATTTTGAATACTTTTATGCTGCAATGCAATTGAATGCTTTCGAGGTCAAATTTCAATTTTGTTGGCTCTAAGAAACTGCTAATTTACAGTGATAAACGTGCCCCATACGGGGTTACGAGTTGGTGCGTTATGTTCTTTTTCGTCGTTGGTCATTTACTCCTCGTTCTTCCTTCCTCGTTTTTTTTCACGTTTCCTCCAATTATTCTCTGGTGCGGGGGAGACCCCCGCAGACCCCCCTTTACCGCTGCGCGGGGCTTTTTTTTTTTCGCTGCGCGAGCTCCTCTACTTTGTTTCGATCCAGACCACCAACAACGTCCCCTGTCCGGGGTTACACCTCACAACTCCCTAACCGTCACCGCGTCTTTATTTCTCGCCTTTCTCTTTTCTCTCTGCATTATCCTCCCTTTTAACGTCCCCCGTCCGGGGCTACACCTACACCCCCACACCCCCCTCTTTCTCCTCCTCCTCGCTCCCTTTCTCCTCGCTTTACAGTTCACAAATTCCAAAATCCACTGCCAACTGTGTCTTTTCCCTATCTCTTTAAAGGGCAAGATGGCTGAGCGGTCCAAGGCGCTGTGTTCAGGCGAACAATAGATCCCCTTTCGCAGTCCGAAAGGGCGTGGGTTCGAATCCCACTCTTGTCATATTTTTTTGAAAAATTTCAAATCCTCGCTCTTGTCGTTTCATTTCTTTAGAATTCCGTTTTCATTTTTGTTTGTATCTCGAAAAGATCCATTTATGCAGCCATTACAAGCAACGAACGCTGCGGGTAAGATTGTTTCATTTACCCGCCCATCGTTGTTTATCCTGCATAGTTTTTTTTCCTCCAGTCTTTCATTGTTTGGTCTACCAGGGAAATAGTTGTCTGGGAAGAACAAAAAGAAGACTTATACGCTGTCCCAGTGAAGAGAATTTTGTCTCATAAACTTGCACAATGTCGTTATAATTTCGAACTTGACACGATAGCTTTTGGGCCAGAGCTCGGGCGCAAGCAACACGTGGGTTGTGAAGGCGTAAGGAGTATGAAATTCACTAGGATTGCTACGTTCAGACGTTCAATTGTAAGTACTTGTAGTTGTCAAAGCCCAGGGAGCGAGGATGCCGAACGAGCGACGTAGTGAAAAAGAGGTCTTCGCAAATCACGATGGGAAGATGCCAGCGGAGTGGTGAGTACGTTGTCAATGGAAAGTCTTGAATGCGCACTCACCGATCGACGTCTAGCTTGCCGCCGTGTATCGTAAAACACCAAGCAAACTCACCCATGCACTTTTAACATTTCCTTCTTTCCTCACCCCGCGCCTTCAGCAGCCACCTTCCACAGATCGGAGCGAGTCAGAACTCGGGCGAGCGAAACTTGTACGCCCGTAGCTAGGCTATATTGTGAGGTCGTCCATCTCCAGGATCGTTCATGTCGATGAGTCTCAACAACGGCCGACAAGAGACCCGGAGCTCCTGTGAAGGTCGGAAATTCGAGGTACTGAGCCTATTTGTCCTTGATTAGCCTTCAATCTTTTCTACGTGCTTTCCTTAGACACTTACATATAGCTTACATGGTCATGTCATGGTCAATGCCATGGTTGTCATGGCCGTCATGAGCTGAGAAGAGCCCGAGGTTCAAATCAACGCACAAAAATCGCGACAATTCACCAAGATAATGGTCGAGCTGAAGAGTCGGGCGAGTGACGGATGAATTGAACATGTTCAACGCATCGAAATGTCGTCGTTGTCGCCGTGTCGAAAAGACGTGAGTCTTGAGCATGCGCATGGCAAAATGGCACGGCATGGGCCACGCATGGCAAAATCTCCTGACGACGCGTCGCGTCCCCATCCGCTCGTGTGTCGCTGCGGTCGAACCTTTCACCCGTTGATCATCATGGACACACTTCCTACCTACTCGCTGAAAATCCTAGCGTCAGTAGGGGCGCTGTCATTAGGGACATTCGTACTCAAGACCTTACTGGTGCTCCTGCAAACGTTCGTGCTAGGAGGAAAATCGGTGCGTCACTGAGAAAAAAAATCACGATCGTTTGAAACGCCTACCAACAATCTCGCAGCTGGCAAAATATGCTAGCAACAACAAGGAAGCATGGGCAGGTTCGTTCCTATTTCTCGTTGGTCGTTCCTAGCTTCTGACAAGGTCTTGTCAAGTTGTCACTGGGGCTACGGATGGCATTGGAAAAGAATTTGCATTTCAACTGGCAGCGGCCAAATACAACATCATCTTGGTTAGTAGGACGCAGGGGAGACTCGACGACACAGCGAGTGAAATAGGTGCGTCCTCCTTGATACGTGACATGCAAAGGATCGACCCAAAATCAACCGCAGGAAAACGTTACGGACGTTCGACGCGAACCATCGCCGTCGACTTCGAGTTCGCATCCGACCACGACTTCAACAGGATCGCCCAGTCCATCAACGACCTGGATATCGCAATTCTAGGTCTTTAGACAGTTTCTACAACGTCAACTTCATCGAACCCTCACCTCTTTCTTTCAGTGAATAATGTCGGACGATCTCACGAGATGCCCGTCGCATTTGCCGAAACCGCGTTAAATGAACAAAAGGCGATCATTGCTATCAATGTAAACGCCACGCTACGTGTTACAAGCTTGGTGCTGAACAAAATGCTTGCTCGGTTTGTAGCCAAGCTGATTTTGGAAGAGTTTCATCGCATTTATCTACCTCATCCCCCAGCAAACGCGGGCTCGTCCTGACCCTCTCATCCTTCGCTGGGGTTATTCCGTCGCCTCTCCTAGCAACCTACTCAGGGTCAAAAGCGTTCCTTCAAACCTGGTCCGATGCACTCCAGTCTGAGCTCAAGGGCTCGGGTGTAGACGTCGAGTGTGTGTCGACATACTTCGTTGTGAGTTCGGTGCACATTCTACGAGTACTCCAGTCCCTCAACCCAGAAAACAAGGTGTCAAATATGTCTCGAATCAGGAGAGCATCGATGCTCATACCCATGCCGGAGGACTATGTTTCTGCTGTCCTTCGAAAAATCGGTGTTCCGTGCGGCGCCTTGTGGACCGGCCGGCCTTCCACTTCAACTCCCTTTTGGTCCCATTCCCTTCTTGACTTCGTCATTCACTGCATTGGATGGAAGGGCGCCTTTATTCGGTATACACTAAGTGGGTGATTATTCCTACATGATGATTGTATATTAACTCAATCCGTTGATTCGATAACAGATTTGCACAAAAGTATTCGAAAGAGAGCATTGAGAAAGAAGGAGAAGGAGGCTAAGCAACTGTAGACGTAACATATGCCAAGTATACCGTTTCGTACACATGCTACAACTTCATAAGTCCCTTCATGGCGTTAGCGATCGCAAAACTGGATTTTGCCATGACTTGTCGGGATTCTTTCGTCATTTCGGGCTGACTTTGAACCTCGCTGAGCTTGTTTGCATGTTCGCTCAGTTCTCGAATGATAGACATTCCTTCCTCTGGATTTGCAGGCGGGAGGTTGTCCTTGCAAACAGCAACGATGCTGGACACAATGGTGATGATCTGCGTAAGATTCTCCGTCAACGTTGACGCTGGAGTTTGACTTCGAACGCCGGACAGAACGTTTTGGATAGCATAGACGATCGTTTCTGACTGGGCTTCTAAGTAAGGCTGTCCGAGGAAGCAAAAGATTGCATCAAGGAACCATTACGATGTGCAGTAATGTAAACACCTACCTTCAGTTCCGACCAAGCTTCTTCAGCGTTGTCCTGAGGTACGCTATCCTCATCCATATTGTTAGCCGCAGATGAGATCCCTAGAGGCGAAAGGACGCGTCTCGGAAGAGAGTCCGTCCTTGGTTGGTCCATCGACGGACGCGATTGAGGCTGAGGTGATTGCTCATCCCTTCGCCGAGATAAACTGGCATTCCTTTGGTGAGCTGGTAATTCAACCCAAAAAAGTGAGTAGTGATGTTTTGACGTTGGTTGACGGTAACGTTCTCACCTCCGGAAGAAGACCTAAATTGCTCCTGTTCTATCCGCGACGCTCTGCGAATGAGTACGGTCTTGCCTATTTCTGTCACTGTGGCGGAGAGATGGCTAGCAGCTGCATCAAGCAGGCTGACCGGCGCCATACCCATGCTCGTAGCGTGGCTATTTGCAACGGCCACGAGATTGCTCAGGGTAGCTTCCGCGCGCTCGAGAAGATTTTGAATGACATCCAGATCGACGTCATGACGGTCATAATTGCGTTCGAAGTTTCGGAGGTCGTCAACGATGGCCGTCACCGCATTGACGACCGCCATCATCGGACTGAGCACTCGCCGTGGTGATTGTGAACGTCCTGCCGTCAGAAGATTGTCGACAGAAGTCAGGAATGCGGTAAGATGAATATCCAGGATACCGCCATCCGCAGAAACAGGAAGCTGGTCGGAATCCATCTTTGGTGCCTGCGAAAAGAGTTGAGAGGTGGCTAGAGTAGTGAAAGTCAGAAAGGCGCGAAATCGCATTTGACAAACTCGAACCTTTAAGACTCCGTAACTCAGTTTTCGCGCTCTCGTACTTCCTCTTGTAGTCTTTAAGTTGAGCATCAAGATTTTGTATGATCGCCAGGTCAGAGTCTTTAGCATTCATCAGTTCGTCGTTGCGTTGAGATAAGTCGTTCAGTTCAGATACAAGGCCCTCCAAATCGGATTGTAGTTGATCCACAGTATCAGAATTGACCTGTAGCCTTTTAGTCGATTTTCATAATTAAGCATGCTACTGTTAGCTTACATCATTAACACCCTGTCCTCGTAGCGAATCCAGTTCTTGGCAACGGAGTCGAAGGGAGGCAATTTCGGAGGCATCTTCCTCCGCTCGCTTCATCAGCAAGTCTTGTTGTCGCCCCGACTCTTCTTTGAGTTCACTGACTTCCCGTCGCAAGTTGAGAATAAGGACCTGGCTCTCTTCTTCTGCCTGAAGGTCCGCTGTCAGCATGTATACATACTCACTTCGAAAGGCAGCTATTAAACACTTACCTCCTGTAGCTGCTTGATCTGATTCTCAAGAAGGCCAACTTTACTCGTATCCGAGCCTGCGTTTTCACGTAGTCGTTTCTCTCGGTCTTCGACGTTCTCTAGTTCCCTCTCAAGACTCGCGAGGCGGTTCTGCAAGGTTGCAATCTTGAACTCGTAATCGCGTCGAACAGACTCCAGATCGTCCCCCATTGCTTGTTTGCTAAGTCGGCCAATGTTTCCGCTACTCGAGTACCGAGCACCCGGTGCCAAATTCAGCGAACGGTCGGATGCTACACTGGCTCGGCCAAAGGACATCTTATCGTAGTACTCTTCACCACTTTTTCCTTGACCTGACCATTCGTCCTCGTCGTCCTCGTCTTCATCCGCGCCTCGATCTCGCAGCCTAGCACTCAAGCCATTGAGACCACCAACTTCTAGAGGAACGCGAGGAGAATCTCCCTCAGAAGTGTCGCCAAACGTCGTCGTTCGATCATCTGGACTCCTCTCCAGGGTGCTCGGCAGGCGCATTGAGCGACCAGTATCGCTCTCGGTACCCTGCCCATATGGGACTTCAATGTTCTCTTCCGCGATCGTGCTCTTTGTAGGCACAATCATTTCCCTCTGGGCATTAGCTAGATTCCCAGTCGAGTCTGACATGATTGAGACGGAGGAAGAGGGCTTGCGAGTCAAGTCGCGATCA